CGCCATGCTAGCTCTCTATTTATAGCTTAGGGAGAGATCTTTAGACTTCCCAGCCAGAGAACTCTAGTAAAAAACTAAAACAAAAATAGGATTCCATAGGATGGGAAAAATTTATATATATATTTAAAGTCGCCTCATATACCATACGGATTGTGGGGTCAATATCACTATGTATTGGCTCCTTAATCTGTTTTAGGTTTGGGATAGCTTGTTTTTATTTTAATTTTAATTTTTTAAATGGACTTGACATCTTGCTTGGGTGGAAAAAGGACTCTCCTCGGCTTAAAACAGCCCAGGGGGTCCAAAAACATGACAATATCGCCCTAGTTCCTATGAGTAGCGGGGTGAGTGGGTTATAAAGTTTAAAAAAGTTTTATAAAATAAATATTAACCCCTAAAGGGTACAGCCCATGTCTTGTGCAGTTGCCCACCCAAGTGAGACATTAACCACTACAGATTGAACACTGCTGGGTCATTGCAAGGGAAGAGGAACAGGTAAAAACCAAAATTATTTGGCTCCCCCTGCTGTTGGCTTTAGCTTTGCCTTCCTCTGACCACTTTGCCTCTTTCAGTTCTGGTAAATACCATCTGGAACTGCTTTTATCTGACCCAAATCTCCTGCCAATTACCTTCACTAAATGATCCCAAGTCCTTGTACAGTTGACCCTCCATATCCACAGATTCTTTATTCACGGATTCCACCACCCATGGCGTGACAATATTCAAAAAAAAAAAAAATCCAAAAACTTAATTTTGCCATTTTTATATAAGGGACACCATTTTACTACACCTCTGTATACAATGGGACTTGAGCACCCACAGATTTCAGCATCCACTGGGGGTCCTGGAACCAAGGACCCACAGTATTGTGAAAGGGTAAAACCTCTGTCCCCCTTTTTTGTGCATCCTTTTATATACTTCTATCATTTAACTCCCCTCTTTTTTAATCTTTTCCTCTTAAACTAAAAAGGACCATAACTAACCAACATACACATTTGCTTCTCTTCCATCGACAAGATCATTCAATTTCAGTTTCCATCCACTTCAATGTGATTTTCCCCAAAGCTGTTCAAAGCTCATTTTTCCCCTCACACTTGTTCAAAGCAAAAGCTATCCTACACCTTGTGCCTGTTTCCCCCTTTCTTCACTTTTCTCAGTTCTTGGAGTTCTTTCTTCAGATGTTTTACAGCTTGCAAAATCTGTCCTTGCTGGGGATCATCCTCAGCTTTCTTGGTATAAAGGAGGAAGTGTTTGATAGTTTCTGAGAGCAGAACTTCCGGATCTTCTCTTGGCAGGTGCAAGCGCAGCATCCTCTCACAAGCGATTGCATAGTTTTTGTGCCAGTTCACTGGATGGGTTTCATGAGCACTTATGATTTCCTTGTACACCTAGGAACAATAAAAATTCAGAATTAAGCCTTGCAGGTGTTAGCCGACCATTAGTCATTAAATCATAAAGGAAAATTACCAAGCAACCACCAAGAAAAAAGTGTCCAGGTTGAACCCTTCCCTTTCATTTCAGACTATTATTGTTATTAGTAGAAAATACTAATTAGTAACTAATAACTAATTAGTAATCTATTAATAAACTAATACTGTGTATATATATATATATATATATATATATATATATATATATGTTAGTACAGTGGGCACTTGGTATCCACTGAGGTTTCACTCCAGGACCCCCATGGATAACAAAATTTGTAGATGCTCAAGTCCCGTTAAATACACCGGCATAGTAAAATGCTGCCCCTTATATAAAATGGCAAAATCTAGGTTTGCTTTTTGGAATGTATCTATTTTTAAAATATTTTCAAGCCATGGATGGCTAAATCCATGGATAAAGAATCCATAGGTACGGAGGGATGACTGTATATGTCACAGAAGTTGAATGTGTTTTTAATTGTTTCAAATTAATATTTTAATTTGATTGGTTGTTTAATGCTTTTAAAAACGTTTGTAGAGAATGCATGGTTTAATGGCTTGAGTGCTGGACTACAGTTTTGGCGACCAGGGTTTCAATCCAAGGTGACTTTATCATGGGGTTTTCTTGGCATGTTTCTTCAGATGGGGTTTGCCATTACCATCCTCTGAGACTGAAGGCTCATTCCCATTATAAAATAACCCAGTGTGGAAACCAGGTTATTTAGTGATCGAATCTCTCCGGGGCTGTTTACTCCCCTTTTACTCCTCTTTGTCGTTCACACTGGAGGGGGAGAGAGGAAGAACAGCTGCGGCAACGAGAGGTAGAGGAGGAGAAGGAAAGAAAAGGCAAACTCCTTCTGAACAAACCTTGCCAAGAAAACCCCACGGCAGACGAAGGCACACAACAACAACGGCAATAGAGGAGGGGTGGTGGCATGGTGGGAAGGCTTGGGCTTCGGCGCTCCTCCTCTGCCTCCTACAAAGGGGCTGCCCTCCAGTGCATCCCTCACCTCACTGCTGCTCACTGGAACCCTCTGGGGCAGGGACCGGCAGCCTATGGCCCGGGGGCCGGTTAAGGCCCCGGTCCCCGGACTTAATAGCCCAGGCCAAAGATTGCCGCT